TACCTGGAAAGTAGAGAAATCATTAGTTTTAAGAATCTATTTTTCCATGGTGTAGAAAGTGAGTTCGTTGTGTCTGTGACTCATATTTACAGTGTTTTATTGCCCCCCTATGTTGGCAAGAAGAAGTACAGGTGAACAGGCATGAACCATAAAGCTGAAAAAATTATGTACACAAATAGTGCATTAGAGAAGAAAGTCTCCTTTTAATTAAGTGCATTTCATTATGGAGAATTAAATTTTGTGCAATACTATATTTTTAATGACTGAATGAGACGCAGTGTGCAATTTTTGCAGTGTTTTTTCAAAAGATCTTAATGTCTTTTTACTGAATGAAAATTGGCTAACGTTAACCACTAGATGGCAATATAAATATACCGTAGACATCCATGGCACTGCAGTGGCAAAGACAAATCATAACAAACGCTTATTGTGGAGGATTTATTCATAACTCTTGACCCCATTCAATTCATGCAGATTGCTTTTACTCTAGAGTATAGCAGAATCTAAAAAGTACTCCAGAAGAATACTAAAATCTCATAAAAAGCACCATCTGATATTTGTCTGATTATTTGAAGAGCACCTATGAATAAACCATATTGTGCCAAACGTAAGATTGATGTAAGCTTCAAAATAAGTATGAGTCAGATATAGGACCTTACATTTCTCTAACAATTTAGAATCTCCCAGACCTCAGTATAAGACTTTGCAATCATTGTTTTCTTTAGCTTGTCTAAAAAAGCTTTTATAAGAATATCAGTGTCAAAGTGGGTGCGTGTGTATTCATGGCACTATAATTAGTTTTTCTATATCTGAAACCCTCTGACAGATATGAAGGCATCACAATGTCTTAAATTTCAGAGCCTGTCATTAATTCAAAGGAAAAAGCATATTCCTGCATGAATAGCCTCCGGGCTTATAATGTCAATAACTACCAAGAATTTTCAAATGAACGACAGCAGCTGTTGGATGCTGTTCTTTTGATGTACAATATGATCCAAGATCAGAGACATTCTGAGACAAGAGTGTAAACTACATCAAATGTTGATATATATTTAGCCATACATTTATCCATACTGTATATGTTTGTAAAATATATGTATGTTCTTATACAGTATATGGTATGGTCTTAAATAATGTTTTATTTATTTATGTATTTATTTTGTTTGTATTGATGCAAAACCACAGTATTTATTGGGTCCTGATTAGTAAATTATAATTGTTTCGATTCTTTTCATATTTTTATTGCATATTTGTCAACACCCCCGTTATGTGTTGGTGGTACAGTCTGGAATGGTGCATGCCTGTATGCTGAACTCTGTTCAGTCAGTCTCTCACAGTGTCACTACGGTGAAGTGAGTTCAAGGGAAAGGAATAATTTATTCCTCAAAATATTGTATGCACAACCTAATGGACATGTACAGAAGAACAATGCATAAAAGGAAGCGGAATCAGAGATGTAAGTATTTTACAGACAAATAAGTACCATATTTCTGACAAGTGCTTTTAATACTTGATTTGTAACAGAATCGATAAAATATGAATATGTATAATAATACTTTTACAGCTTTGTAAATTAAAATGAACATTTTTAGGAAATGTTAGTAATTACACAATGTTATAGTTCTGTTTTTCTTTGATATATTAAATCTTGTTAATTATAAATAAATACATTTAATAAATGCAATTAAAATATTTGTTTGTAATTAAGCGCAGGGGAACTCCCATGGAAAGCATCTTCTAAATGACAAGCAACCAAATGTACTTATATGTTGTAAAAAGTGAGAAAATATGCAACTGTTTCCTAACGGAGTTATTTCTACTTGATCTCAAATGATGTTTAAGTAAAAAAAAATAAAGATGAAAAAAATATTTGGTGCAACCTAATATAGTTATAGTATACATTTGAACAATATTAAAATACTAATATAATAAAATACTATATTATTTAATATAATAATATGTAATAGTAATTAATATCATAAAATAATATTATTTACAATAAAAATATTTAATTTTCAGTTAATTTCAATGCTGCCTGATGAAATATATTTTTAAGATTAGAAGTCTTTCTTTCTTTCTTTCTTTCTTTCTTTCTTTCTTTCTTTCTTTCTTTCTTTCTTTCTTTCTTTCTTTCTTTCTTTCTTTCTTTCTTTCTTTCTTTCTTTCTTTCTTTCTTTCTTTCTTTCTTTCTTTCTTTCTTTCTTTCTTTCTTTCTTTCTTTCTTTCTTTCTTTCTTTCTTTCTTTCTTTCTTTCTTTCTTTCTTTCTTTCTTTCTTTCTTTCTTTCTTTCCACAACCTTTTGGCCAACTTTGCTGAAAGCTTTCAAGGAGGAAAATACATAAGAATCTTGTACTAGTTAAAAAATGTTGTGACCTGTCTGAAATGATAACCTCCTCCCTTTAATTTTTGTCAGAGGGTTCAGTATGTGTTCTCCACATTGAAGTACAGGACATTACCTTTAGTGGCTGGGCATGATTTTTTTCTCTCCTTGACTACAGAATTTACTCCTTTAACCTTTTCATATTCTTTGACTTACTCCAGAAGATTTGAAATGCAGGTTTGAACAGGCCAAGTAGTCAAAAAATAAATGACTAATCAGACATTTTCAGAAACGCAATTTCCTAAACCCCAAAAGCTGTTAAATTCGCATGCGAGTTGCATCTGTTCATGATGAGCATCCATGTTTTGTGTGTGTCTAATCAAAGACGGCAGATCAACGCAAAGTTTTGTAGCTGTGCACACACAAGACCCCAGGGATAATGAGCGGCACTGAAAATGGATATGATGTCCTCGAGTGTACAAACCGGTCCAGACAATTGCGCACATCAGTCACCGAATTACATCATGCCACAAAGGAATGAATAAAGGAAGTGAAGGAGATGTTTGATAAGTAGGTCAATGTATGGAAAAGACTCATTAGTGAAAGAGATACAACAAATATCAGAGGTGTCTGAATAATATTCATAGGTTACTACCTAAAACAGAACTATATGAATTATGTGACTGCAAAGTGATTTTCTTTGAAAACAAATAAAGTCCTTGAAGTTCTTTCTTGCTTAGTCAGGTATCTTGAGTCACTTTGTTTACTGAGGTTTATCAGAACAGATATTTAATTTAGAGTTTGGCATTCAGGCACAAGTTTAGGCATAAGACTTCAGTTATGTCTCCTCAAATGAATCACTCAGAAAACTCGTTTAAGCTGACAGGCAGACACATTGACATTAAGCAGAGGTCATCACTAAGAGAAATGTCAATCTTCTCTCTGCGCTAAGCCTGACAGACCTTTGAGTGAACAGCATACTGAATAGAGGAGGCCCGTTGGTAAACTCAGATTAAAGTATTGATATGGCTCCACGTCTGAAATATGGTGGTATTTTAGATGGTCGGCACATATCCAGTGAAATGTCTGGAGTGTCGTGGGACCATCCGCTGATTATTGGATGATTCAGCCTGTTTTGGATCGTATTGTCTCCCAAGAAACCATTATTAAGATCTCACAAATCCATTATCGAGAACTTAAATTGCTTGCTTCCCCATTAATGTCATCAAAGAGACTCAATCGTTCCTGTAACTCAAACAGTAGAGAATTGCACTAGCATCAAGGGTTTGATTTGTCAGGAAATGTATGAACTAAAAAAAATTGAATGGCTTGAATGCAATGTAAATGGCTCTGGAGAAAAGTGTATGCCAAATGTATTAATGTAAATCAGTACAGATTAACCATTGTGTCACCGTTCATCATCTAAAAAAGTTAATTGTAATCAAACTAATGGTAACAATTCTTGTCCCCATTCAGTTCATGAACTTTTGATGCAGATTATTTTTCCTCAAAAGTATATGAGAACCTAGAAATACTCAGGCAGAATATTAAAATCTCATCTGAAACCATTTGCTTGACTATTTCAAATAAATGTATTATGTCAAAAGTAATAAAAATCTTTTTAAAAAACATAATAAAAAAGAATAAAATAAAATGAATAAAAAATAATTACAATTTTATTTAAAATAATATTATATAATATAATATATTTGGATAAAAGCGTCTGCTAAAAGATGCATTAAATATAATATAATATAATAATATATAATAATATATAATAAAAATCTTTTTTTTGTCAAATGTTTTTTGGTTGAGTAAATGATGACTCATTTACAGTGTCATTTTTGTATCAACTATCCCTTTACGTTTCTTTGTTAGACACCGACATCAAACTCATGAAGATATCCTTTGAACCTCAAACACTTTAAGTCAACGTAATTACATTAATTTGAAGATAACTTTTTTTTTTTTAAAGCTTTTGTGTTAAAGTCAAACTAATGATAATGTTTCCAAATCGTCCACTCTCATCGCAGAAGTTTAGCTGTATTTAGAACCTGCTAATTAAAGAGGATGAAACAAACCTGATCTTCCCTATCAACTGTTTTCCCTCCTGCTTTTCAATTTGAATGTATTTTCCAATATATTCATTCAAATGTTTTGAAACTTCAGTCTCATAAATATATTCCGAGCGTGACTGTCTCCATTTGAAAGGTCTGTACGCTTCCATAATGAATTTGGCTCAGTCAGGCAAAGACTAATCTAAACTCTGAAAGTGCACTACTTTTCTTCACAGATTTAGTGCTTTGTTTTGTGCTTCATCAAAGTGAAGGCTGAAATTGCTTGTAAATGTCTTAAAGCCCCGAATTGTGATTTAGTGAGGCACTCAGGCAGCCCGTCCTTCTGGATAACGTGCCGGGTGACCTTGAAAGGCACTCAGGAGTGATTGTGTGTGTGTGTGTTGAGGCTGTTGCTCTGATAGCATCTCTCTTTCTGATGAGACAGATGAGAGCCATCAGTCATTTATTGTGTGGCATAATGTCTATGCACTTTCTCAGGGCGCAGAGGCTTTTCTAAGTCCATTATATTCACCGGCCATTGTTAGTAATTCATTTGAAGGAGACTATGATTAAAAGGGAAAGCGTATACTGTTTTTGTACAATGTCCTTTGCTCTTCCCACAGACATTAACATGGCTGGAGAACCACGTCCTTACAGGCCAAAAGTGGGATCCAAGCGACCTTTCTCCTTATACAGGTGAACCACCTAAATTGAATTTTTGAACATTTTTTGCATTGTGATTAGGTAGATATGGAAAGACTGAAATAACATTTTTCTCATCTTTTTTATTTATTTATTTATAAGTGGCTATGAATTTGATTATGATTTCTACAGGGATGATTTCTATACCAGGTATGTATATGCATTCACTTATGCAAATGCATGAATTCATAGATAATCTTTTGATACAGTTACATTGGTGTTCTAGTAGTTGAATTGGTAAGATCTTTTCTTACAGGAGCTTTGTAATAAGGTTTTGTTAATTAAATTTTTAGTTAAGATCCAACTTGTCTTGTATGACCTTTTCTCTGTTATGAAAAACTGAGGTAAGGTGAAGAAAAAAATAAAAGCTAAAAAGTAGAGGAAGAGCTTCCCCTAATAAGCATAATTAATGTCATTTTATTGGTTTGACTTCGATCCTTTGCTCAGGCTAATGATGAGCAGTCCTCTCCTGTGAGACATTAGCTGAATGTCAGAAAGCTGCTGGGTCGTTAACTGAGCACGCCGGTCATCTTTCCTCTGACATTTTCATGTGTTTGCTTTCACTCCTCATTTGGCAGAGCTGAGTTTTATACATCTCCATGGAAAATATATGTGTGCTAACGAGCAAAATTCCTTCAGTGAGGTTATTTCAAAATATGCAGGTATTAGCTAATTATGCTCATCAAGTGTTATCTCAGGGGAGAGGGACTAAAAAGTGATCTTGCTCTTTTGCATGTAGACTAAGATATTCTCTTTATATTATATCTAGCTTAAAGTGTTTAATAACAATAACAACAATAATAATAATTGAGTGACATTTAAATAAAAAATTTTAACAAGGAATTCCTAATGTGTATACATACAATATACAAAATTTTGATTTTTTTTTTTTTTTGGATAGTTATTTTAGTTTCTTATGCTCACAAGGCTGAATGTATTTGATCAAAAATGCAGCAATATACAGTAATATTTTGAAATATTATTACAATTTAAAATGACTGCTTTCTATTGTAATATATTTTAAAATGTAATTTATTCCTGTGGTGGCAAGCTATTATATCAGTTTTAGTGTCACATGATCCTTCAGAAATCGTTCTAATATGATGATTTGGTGCTCAAGAAACATTTCTTATTTTTATCAATATTGAAAATTGCGGTGCCTAATATTTTTAATAAAATAAAACTGTGATACACTTTTTAATGATTATTAATAATAATAATATAAAATATTTGTACAAATATTTTTCTATTTTTCTTTTCAGAATTTTTGACATTCATGGAAGACTAGCACCCTCCCCTCGGGCTATGATACCTATCAAGCATTCCCGTTTGATTGCACTCTCAACACGCAGGACAAAAAACTCATTCCAGCCAAAGATGTCCACCTGCTCCTCTTATCTAAGAACGCTGTCTTCAGGTTCCTTATGCTCTATGGGTTTGTCCATCATTCAAAGTCAATTTGTGTCATATCATTTCAATTTCCATTATCATATTTTTAGCACCTAGAACACTCTGCACTCTTAAAAATAAAGTTTCTTTATTGGCATCATTGGTTCCACAAAGAACCTTTACCATCCATGGAACCTTTTTATTCCACAAAAGGTTCTTTACAGTGGCAAAAGGTTCTTTAGATTATTAGAATGTTCTTCACACACACTAAGAAAAAATGGTTCTTTTAAGAACTGTTCACTGAAAGGTTCTTTGGGGAACTAAAACTGGTTCTTCTATGGCATCGCTGTGAAAACCCCTTTTGGAAACTTTATTTGTGTAATCAGGCACCTTTAATAACCTGGACTTTGACATAACATGTCCATACAGTTCATAATCTATTTCCAACCATAACCATTTTAAAACTAAAAATAATATTTTACAAAGAGCTGATAAAATCACAGTGATATATATTCATCCTCATCATTGTTTGTTTGTTTGTTTTTATCCAAGTGAAATCCGATCAGCTCCTGACAATCAAACAAGAACTGTCCCAGATAAAGATTAAGATCGACTCCTTACTGGGAAGGCTAGAGAAGATTGAACAGAAGCAGTTAGCAGAAGCAGGTAAGAGGCTGAAATGAACATTGCTGTCAGGGTAGAGGCCATGTTGGCAGGAGGTAGATTAAAAACACTTGTCTTCATCACTTGCAATGTCAGTGCAGGAAATCGAAAACAGCACCACTCGTGTCTTCACACACACACAACTTGGACTAGGAGAAGAGACATCCACATACCTGTGTTAGTTTTACTTACTCGAAAGTTTGCTAGCCTACACTGTTAAAAAACACTGAAATTTAAAAAAAAAAACTGCAGCTGTGATTGCCAGAATGTAAAAAATAGTACCATTTATTATACCAACCTCCTGAAGTACTAAAATGTGTTTTGTACATGTATGATATGCTGACAGCCATAAAAAACACAGGTGGTCATGAGAAAGCCACATGATGAATCAAAACTCATCACAAGTAGCTTTTCCACAAACTGAGGTAAACATAGAAGGAGCACAGTGTCTTACGTGCAAATACAAAACACCACCATGGTAACAAACATGACACTAAAATAATGTAATAAACATTCATTTAACAATAAATGAATAATGTGTAACAAAACCCGAATGTAACCAAGAAGAAACATAATAAAAAACTAGTTTTTTAAATTATTTAAATAAAAAAAAACATCAAATATGCAGTATCTCACAGGTAAAGCTGGCAATTGTCAAAATGTCAATTTTTTAATCTGTAAATTATAAAATGACTTGTTCTTTTTCGCGTCTAAAAACTGTAAATGTAACAGTATTTTATTATAAAATGACACTAAATGGCCCGTTAGATTTATAACAGTTTTTTACCATAGAGAGTAGGCTAAGAGAATTTACCAATAACTAATTAACAGGTTTTCACTATAGCATGTTTACAATCTATTACCATTAAAATTACAGTCAGTGTACGTTTTCTTTAAATATTCACTGTAGCTGTTGGCCACACTTTAATCCCATTATCTCATTCACCTTTCTGTCCGTGAACTCAATATTGTGTAGACACCCACAGGAAGCACGAGAAGGCCTATCAATATCTCTATAGTGAGACAGAAGAGGATGTGTATCAGGAACATCAGGAAGCGGGGTCTTGGGAAGGGACTGATGAAGGTGACGATGGATATAATGACAGGGCTAACAGTGAACTGGTGAGCTGTCATTGAACTCATCTGAATATGAAATGTCATTTGTTTTTATTTGATATATCAGCAAGACCCATTTGTATTGGATATAATTGTGTGTGTGTGTGTGTGTGTGTGTGTGTTAAATCCCAGATAGAAAACCACATATCTGATGTAGACAACTGAGCAAGGTTTGTACCACAATTAATGTCCCTTTATATTTAACATTCTTCTCTCTTTTTATTTGACATCATCAAAAAAGTATATTGCCTTTGTCTTTCAAGACTTTTGTGAGATGTACTGATGTCACTATCTGAGATTTGAGACTCCCTGCTGTCCATGTAAGAAGAACATAATATTGTGCAATTTATTGCACTCATTATTTTTAGTCAGACTTCATAAGCAACATTCATAAGCAATGCCCTGTAAACTAAAAGTCATTTTAGCCATTCATATCTGAGTACTGATCTCTCTGAAATGTCTCATCATTTGACCTTCAGTATCCAGCAAACAGAAAGTCCTCTTTCGCTTCATTCAGTGCATAACCAACAGTTTCTTGTAAAATACTTAAGAATGTATTACGTAATAATATAGCATAAACAGAAATTCTGTGATATTTCTATATTTAAAAAAATAGTGAAATATTTTATTTTCACTTTTTCTTTCTTTCTGTAGGACTGGGACCAGCACACCTATCAAGTTTACTATTTTTTGGAAGATATCCGGATCGAATTGTTCACCCTTTCATGTTTATTTATTTATATATATGCATTTTTCATTCATTCAACTGGTCATACATGCACATACATGAGTATGTATAGTCAGACAAAATGAAAGGATGAAAACCGTAACTTAATATGTATAATCATTAATGTATTTTATCTAGCAAATGTGATAAATTTCAGTGTCAACTGTCATAAAGGTTTACAGATAAATGGAAAAATTAAATTGTATGTGCATTTGATTTTTTTTGGACATTATAATTATACAGATTTAAATATTGTTGATTGAATGCACATTTATGTATTTGTAAACTATAATAAAATGATTTGTCTCACCCATTATTAGGAATATAAGCTACGTTTACATCTCTATTTCTTTTTTATTTTTATTGTAGTTTATAATAACTTATCTGAAAAGTGTGGTAAAAATATTTTTGTGTTTAATATTGTGTGACGCATTTGTGAAATAAAATCGGCCAGACATCAATTGTAGCAAGTTTTTTATTTTTGGGTATTTAACGTTGATTGTAGCTGTGCAATAATGTAAGCCAACTGAAAGTTTTAAGAGACATTCAGTTTCTTTTGGGACTCAACTGAGCTCATTGGAAACTTCTGAAACAAAAGCCGTCTATAGGAAGTGACTACGTACCCGGCCGGAAGTAGGAATTAGTAAGCGGGACTTTTAATTTCTACAGCGGTAAAAATATAATGGCAATCTTTGAATCCTTCGCAGGCAGTTAGAGTTTACAACAAGTCAGATAGGTAATTATTTAACACACATCATTTTATACATATTATTTATAGTATAACGGAAGAGGAAGTTATCGTGAAATCAACAAAAAGTAATCAGAGGCTAACAGAAGAACTGACGTTACTTTGCATTTGAAATTAAAGTTAACGTTATATTAAAGCTTTAAGTTACCTATAAATAGTTTTATACAACCCTGGCAGCTCTGCGCGCCTTTTAATAGCAGAACTGACCTGTTATTAACACAAATTACGCAATCAAATTTGTGTACATAATCAGTCTGGGCTTTGTTTACATCCTGTGTTGTGTTGTGTTGTCAAGTGCTGAACTGTCGGGCGCCCAGTGTCTAAAACTTAATGTATGTCAGTTCGTCGTCTTAGTTCTTATTATCTGAATTAAAAGACCCAGTTTAACAGTTACTTCGATTAAGCTTCAATCGTTTTTGTAGCAGCAATGTAAATAAACGTCTAGCTGTGTGAAACAGTAGCACGTTATGTTGTTGTTAAGGTATCCCTTTCATTGATTATTGTTGTGACCTATTCAGTCATGTAACACCCAAGAGGTCTGCGGGTTATTGTGGGTTATTGCTTATATATTTGACAGGTTGATAACGACGGAAACTTGTTCTCAGTGTGTGTCTGTAGCAGGTCATGGCTGTTAGAGAGCTCTGTCTAATTGATAAGGATATTTCAAGGTCAGTTAACCCATAGTCCAGTTTTACAGCAGAAGTGCCTGTTAACAGGCTGCACAGTATTTTAAGTACAGTGTGTGATTGTGACTTCACTGAAGACATTTATTTTTAGTCTACTAGAGGTCCCTCTGAATCCCAGTATTTCATCTCTGAATCTTCACTGTAATCGCCTCACTAAGATTGAGGGCTTGACGACAGCATGGCACATAAAACATCTGGACCTGTCATCCAATCACATCTGTCGTATAGAGGGATTAGCTTCCCTGTCCTCACTGTGCACCTTAAACCTGTCCTGCAACTTAATCACCAAAGTAGAAGGTAAAGCTCACACTTTTTTTAGGGCAGAAAATGTGGTAAATGTTTGAAATGCGCTGTAGTATAATTTTAATGGTAAAATGAAAGCGCGTCTGTTTTCAACGTGATCTTAAACCGTTCCTTCCTGTTATTACTTCTAATTAGGTGTCTTTGGTTTGTAATCTGTCAATACATGGATTTCTTTCAGGACTCAATGGACTAACAAGTCTCACAAGACTGAATTTGGCCTACAATCAAATAAATGACCTAACTGGTAGGTTAGATTGCATTCCCATCAATGTGTTAATTCTTGAGTAGTTTGTTTTTGCTCTCTGAATTATTTGACATGTAAGATAAGAAATGCCACTAACATTAAAAAGTAACCCTCTTAATAAAAAGAACCCTCTTATGTTTACCAAAGCTTCATTTATTTGATCAGAAATACATCACTTTCAGATAAAGGATCCTCAACTCTCTGTATCTTCTTAATGACTTGAAATTTATTTTTATTTTGCAACAGAGCAATCAACAATCAAACATTTTGTCAACAAGCCTTCTTCAGTGAATCATACAATAACATTTCCCACAATAATGTTTTTTTTTAAATCTGATTTTTTTCTGAATTTTTCAGAATGTTATTAAAATTTAGAATGACATTTTTATTTTGAAATATATAATTATTGACTATAATAGAGCTATATCTATTTTAATATATTTTCAAATGTAATTCAAAGCAAAAGTTTAATTTTTTATAGCAGCTATTACTCCAGTCTTCAGTGTCACATGATTCTTCAGAAATCATTCTAATATGCTGATTTGGTGCACAAGAAATATTTCTTATTATCAATGTTGAAAACAGTTGTGCAGCTTAATTTTTATGAAAACCGTGATACGTTTTTTAGGATTTGTTGATGAGAGAGTTCAAAAGAACAGCATTTAATTGAAATAGTACCATGTAAAAATCTTGTCACATTTTACCAGTGCATCCCTGCTGAATAAAAGTATTCATTTTTTATTTAATTTATTATTATTATTGAACCCCAAACTTATGAACGATAGTGTAGATCACAGCTGGACAACTGTGTATTCACTTACTGCTCTGTGCTTTCAGGTCTCTTGTATCTTCATGGAGCAGAGTACAAACTGAAGTACCTACAGCTCCACAGCAATCGTTTGGATAGCATGAACCACCTGCTGCAGTGCATGGTGGGACTGCAGAATCTGAAAGATGTTACTCTTAGCAAGGATGGTGCACAGAATCCAGTCTGCTCACTGCCAGGTTTGTAGGAAAAAACCCTGAAGGAAAATCGAGAATTTTTTTTCAGACAAGCAAACTGAATCATGCAATGGAACTGGTGTGGAAAATCTAAAATAGTCTAAAAGGGCCAAAAAGAATATATAAGATAGAAAAAGTTGGCAACTTTTTTCACTAGTATGTTCTTCCTTTGTTTGTAGGCTACAGAGAGATGGTTCTTCAGTCTCTGCATCAAGTCACTACACTAGATGGAGTAGATCGCATAGGAAATCCATCTCCTTTAGCAGAAGACAGTCCTATGGATGTTCCTGGTCTTGAGGACTTTCTTGAGTTTCTAATTTCATCAGACACCAGTGTTAATGAAGAACTGGTAAATTGTTTTTATGATACTGTTTATTTTCTCAAGCTCCTCAGATATTTATCTGTTTTTAGACTGAGAATGGCTTTTGAATCATCTTGAGGTGGTTATGAGACATACGTTTATGTTCAATGTGTTTTTTTTGTTATGAAGGCAAAGTCAGATGCTCCTCTCACTACTGCGCGGATTGATGAAGTCCTGACCCAGTTTCGACAACGAGGTGGAAAACCAACTACAGAAAATCAAGAAAATGAGCAGCGAATTAAAAAACTAGAGCAGCAGGTTTCCCATCTCATTCAGAAGGTAAAGAAAGGGAAAATTGATTACTACATTTCAGTTATCATTAATTTCATCATTAATGACCACTAATTCAGTCTTTTCATAAAAATAGCACAATCCAAAATTTAGGAAATAACATAATTCTAAATTGTACATTTGAACTTAGGTCCCTACAGGGGATGGCTTTAAAACAAACAGCGCTGTACCTTCTGTGATACATAAAGCAAAAAGAGACACCGATCAGACATCAGAGAGCGAATGTGACAGTGGAAAAGAGAACCAACGGCATTCCAGAATCCTGTCTCATCCCAGAGGCTCTGCAGGGAAAAAATTGACCAAGGACACCAAACCCAAACAATCTGACTGGTGAAGTAACTTGTACACATTCATATTTATAAATGCTAGGGCTGGGTAAAAAATATCGATATCTCGATATTAATTGATTCTCATTTTTACGGAACGATATCGATTCTTAAATCCCAAGAATCGGTTAGTCTAGCCTGTTTTCAGTTAATGGACGGAGCACTGAAGGGTAATTCCCATCCAATAAATCGCAATAAGCATTGTGCTTTGGTACTTTAAATATGAAACAAAGTCTCAGATTTCAAATTCTGTCCATTGTATTGCAATATTTAAACAATAAATGCCGTTTTGGCGCTGTTTAATGTGGAGAGACAGATCGCTGTAGCGCCTCAGTTCAACAGACGCGGTAGCGCGAGGCGCACGTGAGCTGATCATCTCCTCTACATTAATACCAGTTTCAGCACAAAATAAACATGACTAAACATCCGAAGTTAAGTTAAAAGAAAGAGTACAACTTTACAATCCGTACCCTGTCTCATGTAATCGCTCAATCTGTGTTTCAGCCACGTAAAGACGCCAATATAACGGCTTGTAAACAATATGTCACGTAACGTCACATTTACCTCAGAAAAAAACATATTCGGTGACCATAAACTTATTAGTCAGATAGAAAAATAAACTGTAGAGAGGGGCATTTT